GCCCCTACTTTGCCTATTTTCATCAGTTGATCCGAGATGAAGATTCACATCCTGAATTCTTGTGAGTACTGGAAGCAAAGCAAAGTTCATTGTCGGTTTTTGGTATTTATTGGCTGATTATTAACAACATAATTATTTTGTTTGCAAAACAGAAGAGAATTAAATAGTCCAGCCTTAAAGCCCTAATATTTCTTTTGTATAATTTTTGTTTTGTCATTTATTAGATATGAATTTAACATGCAGTATTTTGTATCAAGGTGTTTATGTATTTAGAAAACTTGGTGATAAGTAGCAATGAAAATCAAAACACAGGCTTGACCCTTTCTATACAGTTCTATATTTCATTTTGTACTACTATTTCTTCAGGAAAACTAGCAAGAGTGACTGACATAATCAGTAATTTGGATAGAGTGCGATACAGAAAAAAAACTCTACAGTATTGAGATTTTAATTTGACGAAGCATGCAAAAGCTATCATAGATATTCAACTGTATTAGCAAACAATAACATTGTTTAAATTTATTACAATGGTCTGATCTGATTGAGGGTCTATCCAGGAAAAAAGTACTTTATAAAAAAATATAGGGGTGGAGGAAGGGTGTTTATTTGTCATTAAGTGTTGAATAACATTTTTTTATGTCAAGGTTGTTGACTCAGGACTAAAATTTCTATTTTGATATGAATAAAAATTGTTACTGTAGCAGTAATTGTTAATTCCAGGAGCAATTTACAGAAACTAAAGGACAAAAATAACTTATTACATTACAGGCAATATAAAGTTCAATGACATAATAATAGTATTGTCTGGTAGATAAATTATGGTTTCCCAAATTGCCTTAATATAGTTTAATCCTTTTTTATAACAAAATTATATCATGTACATATTATATTAATACATATAAGCCAATATACAGTATATGTTGATTGAATTTCTAACAAAATTTGATATTTTATTCAGAATAGTTTCACAGATATGAATATGTTTTAATAATCTTAATATTGGCCAAATTCCTTATACTTTTTTAAAATACTGTATGTTATTTAATAATAATAATTATTATTATTATAATAAAATAATAAGAATAGTAAAAATAATACATAACTTATATAGCGCCAATTTCAACTAAACCGAAGTAAAAATCAAATGCGCTTAACATTTTATAATAAAAAGTCTCAGTGAATTTGAACAATCAGAAAATAAGAATGGTTGTTGACACAGGATGTGAACGTAACATAATTAGTTCTGAACGGTTCAAGAAATTGTACCCAAAGTGTCAACCGAAGTTGAACCATACTAATAAGCGTTTTATAGCTTATGGTCAAGCTAATCCATTGAAGGTTTGGGATATTTTCGGACACAGATAATCTAGAACAAACATGTTTTGGAAGACAAAGTGTTTGTGATTGAAGGAAACACCGATGCTTTACTAGGAAGAAGAGCAAGTTTAAAACTTGGTATCATACAGCTATCTCCAGATGTAAATAGAGTAACAACAATTTGGATTGTCAAGTGCTCCTGAAGCATACCAGCAAGCTATGGATCACATATTATGTGGTTTAGATGGTGTAGTCTGGTATATGGACGATATTATTGTTCATGGATTAACAGTAGCAGAACTTGAACAACGTTTAAAGAGCGTTTTCAACAAATGTCGAGCAAGTGATTTAAAATTGAACAAAAACAAATGTGTATTATTTACTCAAGAAATCAAAGTGCTTGGACATGTGATTATACAAGACGGAGTCAAACCGGATCCTGACAAAGTTGCAGCGATTGTGAACACCCCCAAACCAAAGGATGTTGAACTTCTTCGATCATTTCTAGGAACATGTGGATATTTGATGAAGTTTATTCCGAATTATGCAAATATAACAGAGCCATTGCGAAAGTTAGCACATGATAAAATACCATGGAATTGGGAGCAGCGATGTGACAAAGCGTTTAATGATCTTAAAGTGACTCTTAGTACTGAACCTTGTCTTGCATACTATTGTATGAATGCACCAACTACTGTGATTACAGATGCATCTCCAGTTGGTTTAGGAGCCATTTTGCTACAGGAACAGACGGAAGGTGAACTGAGACCAGTCGCTTATGCTAGCCACTCATTAACCGAAACTGAACGCCGTTATTCACAAGTTGAAAGAGAGGCATTAGGTTGTGTATGGGGAATTGAACATTTTCATGTTTACTTATGGGGACAGAAATTAAAGTGGACCATAAACCATTAATATACATGTTTGGTCCAAAAGCTAATTCCCAACTACCAGCTAGAATACAACGTTTGTCATGGAGATTGCTAGGATATGACTTTGACATTGAGCACATACCAGGAAAACAGAACATTGCAGACTCATTGTCACGCCTTCCATTGACATGCTCAGACTCGACTCGAACACTATTGCAGAGGACTATATTAGACAGGTTGTGCTTATGTGTACTTCAGAACTTGATGCATTGACTATTGATGATTTTAAAATAGAAACTAATAAAGACCCTATTCTATCAAATGTAATTAATATTATGGAGACAGGAATGTGGCCTAGATTGGTAACAGATGAACTGAAACCATATTATGTTCACCAATGTGAATTATCTGTTTATGATTGTTTGTTAATAAGGGGAAATCGTATAGAAGTACCTTTAAAGTTAAGACAAAGTGTTTTGAGCTTAGCACATGAAACACATCAAGGAATGGTTAGAACCAAACAAGTGCTGCGCGATAAATACTATTGGCCGAAAGTGGATGCTAA